GTGTAGTTGTTGATTATTTCTAATAGTTTTCCAACGGATTCTTTAGGGTTTCCTATATATAAAATCATGTCATCTGCAAATAGTGACAGTTTCACTTCTTCGTTACCTATTTGGATTCCTTTTATTCCTTTTTCTTGCCTAATTGCTCTGGCCAAAACCTCCAGTACTATGTTGAATAGGAGTGGTGAGAGTGAGCAGCCCTGCCTTGTTCCTGTTCTCAGAGGAATGGCTTTCAGTCTTTCCCCGTTGAGTATGATGTTGGCTGTGGGTTCGTCATAAATAGCCTTTATTATGTTGAGGTACTTTCCTTCTATTCTAAATGGGGATATTTTTTGTTTGTTTTGTTTTGCTGGGTTTATACCAGTCCAAGCCTGGAGATTTTCTGCAACTAATAGGTCTAACTAGAGGTGCACTTCCCATGTGTGGCCTCCTCCAGCAGCTTAAGGGAACATATATCGAATTAGGGAGCCCAGAGCTCTTTTGTTTAAATTGGATGCTGGGCTGTTATTTATTGTAGACAGGGTGATTTTGCTTAAGTTTCAAATCAGACTGATTTCCTAGAAGGGTCATTAATGAAAACAAAGAAAAATCGAAGAGATCTACGAAATCCAAGATTATAAGAAGCAGAGGACCAAGAGGAGAACTTGGAAATCAATCCTGGGCCTGCTATAGACATGAATGTATGCATTTCTCAAAATGTGGAGCGCTCTGAAAGAAACTAGAGTTATAATTTGATTTTTTTTTCTTTCTTCTTTCTAGGTATCTCATTCAGTTGCTAAACTTATATTAGTTAATTTCCACTGGCAAGTTGCAGAGATATTGGACAGGTAAGGGGTTTGGGGGAGGAGAGATGGCATCACCCATAGCTCCTCTCTCTGCCCACCTACCCAGTGGTGATTATTGTTTACATTTTAGAGTATATCCTAACAATGTGCGTATTATATTTTTAAAACATTGGATCATATTGTATATCCTTTTTTCTCTCAATATATGGTGAACATTTCCCCATGTTTTCAGCATTTTTTTTTTTTTTGTGAGGAAGACTAGCCTTGAGCTAACATCCGATGCCAATCCTCCTCTTTTTTTGCTGAGGAAGATTGGCTCTGGGCTAGCATCCGTGCCTATCTTCCTCTACTTTATATGGGCCACCGCCGCAGCATGGCTTGACAAGTGGTGCATTGGTGCGTGCCTGGGATCTGAACGCACAAACCTCGGCCCGCCGCAGTGGACCGTGCGCACTTAACTTCTGCGCCACCGGGCCGGCCCCCAGCATATTCTTTCTACCCCAGTTTTATTGCTGGCTCAATATTTCGTCATATAGATGTTCCATACTTTTTCCAAACCCCTGTTGTTAGAAACTGTAAAGTTAGTTCACATTTGTTATGCCATCGTTGATTTGTAATCAGTGCCCTTCTAGATAACACTTGCCAATATCTACAGTTACTTCTTTTGGATACATCAAGTGAGGAATGCATCATAACATATCACATGCTACCTTTGGAAAGGGTCGGCCAGTTTACCTCCCACCCCAGAACCAGAGCTCTTGGGACACAGACCTTGGAGTCTTAAGTGGAAGTTATCAGGAGTTGTTTCTCCTCTTCCTGAATCCTCTGGGGAGTTTTTAGAACTTTATATTTTTAGAACTTTACAGACATGGAATTATGTTGTCTGTGTTTTTCAACTTTTTAAATTAACAAAGTTGCATTTTATGATATCCTATCTATCCTCCTGTCAAAAACCATTTGGGAGTTTTTAGTTTTTTGCTGTTAAAGATAATGCAGCTCTGGGCCGGCCCCGTGGCTTAGCGGTTAAGTGCACGTGCTCCGCTGCTGGCGGCCCTGGTTCAGATCCCGGGCGCGCACCGACGCACCACTTCTCTGGCCATGCTGAGGCTGCGTCCCACATACAGCAACTGGAAGGATGTGCAACTATGACATACAACTATCTACTGGGGCTTTGGGGGAAAAAAATAAATAAATTATAAAAAAAAAAAAAAGATAATGCAGCTCTGAAAACTCTTGTACGTGACTCCTAGAGTCACATAATTTTTCTAGGGTTAAGTATAGAGAATGAATTTCTGGGCTGTAGAGTATATGTTTCTTCAGCTTTACTAGTAATGCCAAAATGTCACTCACCAGTGGTGCGTGTGCGCCCGGGATCCAAACCCGGGCTGCCAGCAGCGGAGTGCGTGCACTTAACCGCTGTGCCACGGGGCTGGCCCCATGAGTGTTCTTGATGTTGTCACGCTTAAAGTTTTACAATCCAGTGGGTATAAATGGCATCTAATTGTTTTTAATTTCAATGTACCAGATTATTAAGGAAGCTGAGCATTTTTTCATATGTTTAGTGGCCATCTGTGCTTCCTCTTCTGTGAAATGCCTGTTCTGTCTTTTGCCCATTTTTGTATTGTTATTTTTTTCTTTTCAAATGGACTTTTAGGAGTTTTTGTTTTGTTTATTCTGAATATCAATCCTTTGCTAGTTATATATGTATTGAATTATCTTCCAGTTTATAGCTTGGCTTTTCACTTTATGATGTCTTCTAATGAACTAAAATTCTTTTTTTTTTTTTTTTAAAGATTTTATTTATTTATTTTTCCCCCAAAACCCCAGTAGATAGTTGCCTGTCAAAGCTGCACATCCTTCCAGTTGCTGCACGTGGGACGCGGCCCCAGTATGGCCAGAGAAGCGGTGCGTCGGTGCGCACTCGGGATCCGAACCCGGGCCGCCAGCAGCGGAGCGCGTGCACCTAACCACTGAGCCACGGGGCCGGCCCCTAAAATTCTTAAATGTAACGTAATTGGTCAGTTTTCGTCTATGCTTTGTATTTTCTGTGTCTTAAGATACCCTTCTGTATTCTGAAGACATAGAGATATTTGCCTATATTTCCAGAAAGGGATTTGAAGCAGATATGCTCCTTCATAATTATTTTTATTACAGTTCAATGCTTTTGAGGCAGGGTTATTATTGTCATACCAATTGAGAGCTAAAAAATTGCAAGAGAAAAAGTATTTGTACTAAGGTAAAAAGAAACTTGGTTCTGTGAGAAGGTAATTTAGAGACAAAGACACTTGAGTGCAACCACAACACATGATGGTTTCTTCTGTTTTTGTTCAGAGGTAAAAATGTTTGTCTTCTCTTTCTGATTCCCTTTATTTCTGCTTTTTGCTTTGTAGGTACAAGTCTAATTCTGCTCAGTTGCTCGTTGAGGCTCGAGTTCAGCCCAATCCATCGAAACATGTGAGTGTTTCCTACTGGAGTAAGGGTTCCGTGATGCATGTGGCTCTTGCATGGCTTACAGTGTTACTGAGAACCATCTTTTGTTTATAGTGCAATGTGCCTAAAATATTTGTTCCAATATAGGCCTAAATCTTCCATTTCCATTATAGTTTGAAAAGTTTCCTCATAGATGAACAGTAAATCCTTGCCAGTCCTGGGGCCCTCTTCAGCCTCACCTTCCTCTTTACGCTTACACACAGCCTGCACTCCATTCCTGCTAGGTTCCTTGGTTCTCAAGCTCACTGTGTGCCTCTTTGACTTTGCTTGTGCCTTCCCTGGCCTGGAACGTCCAGACCCAGTCCTCATCTTTGCTTGTGGGAATGGAACGCATCTTTAAAGACCCAAATCCAAGCCATTTCTCACAAAGCCTGTCTCCTGTGATCACTCTCTTCTTTAAACCTATACATGTATATTGTAGTGATTCATTCATCTTTTCAGCTCCCCTACCAGATTGTAAGTGCTTTAAGGATAGGAACCATATGTTACAATGCATAAGAATTTTCTCTGTATCTAGGAGTTCAACAAACATTTGACAGATGAATGAGGGCAGTGTTGAAAGAGCTCTCAGAAGGGGCTCAGATCACCACATAACTTTTGTAGCCTCTTAGGAGAAAATTTGCAGGAGGATACTGGATAAACATGAGAATTATTTATGGTCTTTTTCCTCAAATTGTTTTTTGTATCCCAAGTAAACTAACAAGCACCTATTGTAAACTTATAGTGGACTTTTCCATTGGTTTGTGTTTTGGCCAGGGTCCCCATATCGTCTTGTGTCTACTAGTTTGTGTAGCACAGCATGGATTCTGAAGTTCAGGCTTTACAGTTATTTGCCCACATCCTAGAAGTTTCTTCCCTAGTAGGAGCCTTCCTCATCCCTCTAAATTAATTGTACATGACATCTCTTCGGTGTACTAATGCTGAGTTATAACTTGCTAAAAGCTGTGATATTTTGTGACTTGGCCGTGTTGATGTCGGAAAACCACTGTCTTTGACAAGTAAAACTGCATGTGGGCTGTTAGAAGCTTTACACACTCAGCCTCTAAGAACTTTATGACTGGATTTGTAGTACTTGTTGAGGGGCAGCTCTGTGCTGTGCTGGACGGGGTTTACAAAAGAAACTCAAAAGCCTCTAAAAGAAGAAGGTGGATTGTATGACTGCTAAGGACCTTGGCAATTCTGAAATCCTGCGCTTTTCAGTCTAAAACTACTGTAAGTTCTCATTTCAGCCTTCTCTTTCTGCCTCTCTTAATCCTAGTGATTCTGCAAGCCCAGCTCAGGTGCCACCTCCTTCAGGAAGCCTTCCTGATAAATACTTTCTGCTCAGAACTCTTGGGACTCACAGAGTTCACACATTGCAGTTGAGTTCTGACACTTGTAGGATCAGGATCGCCTCCCAGCACCTAGCTGCTTGAGGCGCCCCTATGGCCTCCCAGGGCCTGAAGGCTCTTCTTTGACTCATATGGCTCTGCGTCTCCCCAGGTCCCCACGGCCCATCCCCCTCATCACTGCGCAGTGTGTATGCAGTTTGTGCGGAAGGAAAACCTACTCTCTCTGGCCTGTCAGCACCAGTTTTGCCGCAGCTGCTGGGAGCAGCATTGCTCAGTACTTGTCAAGGACGGCGTGGGTGTGGGTGAGTCGGCCATAGAATTTGTAAAAGACTGGCATGAAGTATTTATCTTTGACTCTGCTCTTTCAGGTACTCAAGTCAGCTGAGTGTTTTCTTCTGAGCCTGATTGAAGTTTTTATTGTCAGAGCCATTGGTTTCCAAATAGATCAGTCTGAACAGTGGCAAAGTTTTTCCTAGTCCTAAAATGAGAAAATTTAGGCTGTTGTCTGGACATATATGTATATGTTGGTATGCGTGCAGGCTACCTTTTGGGAGAACTGTCCTTTAAGCTGCCTACCCTATCTTAATTACCCAAGGAGCAACCATCACTTAAACACCCAGAGAATCTGCTTCTATTTAGGTAACATAGCACAAATCATATTTGATGATCAATTATAGGAGTATTTGTTATACTGTGACTTGATGATATTGAAACTAAATTAGCATCACATTAATTGTTTCTGCAAAATCTCATTGTGTTAGTGGTGATCACTTGCACATAATATTAAACATCACAAAACTAAATTGTTAGCCAAGAACCCTATAGGATTTTTCAAATGATACTGTTTTTCAGTTGTGCTATTTGTGATATATATGTAATTTGGGATAATATTTTAGTTGCATCACTGTGCAAATATATTAATTTTTCTCTTCTTTGAATAAATTCTGTTGCTTCAGGGGTTTCCTATGTAGAATCTGATTTGTTGGTTGAACTCAGTGGCCAGATATATTACTGTTGTGTCTTCTGCAATATAATTGTCCATCAGGTTGTCTTTGTTCAACAGGAGTCTCTTGCATGGCTCAGGACTGCCCACTCCGAACACCAGAGGATTTCGTGTTTCCATTGCTGCCCAACGAAGAATTGAGAGATAAATACAGGCGCTACCTCTTCAGGGACTATGTGGAAGTATGACCAGCCCCTGTTGTGGTGCCTTCTGTCTTCCTGGGTCTACTTTCCATCCGATGCTCACCACAGTTAGTTTTTATAGACTAGGTTGCCATTAGATGCTGTCATTTGAAGAAAGAACTCCATGGCTTTAAAAAAGTTTGAAAACCACTAGAGTGGTAGTGAAGAACACAGGCCCTGGAGTCAGGCAGATAATTTTGTGAATCCCAAGGCTGTTACTTCCTTGCTGTGTAACCTTCAACCTATTATTTTACCTCTCTGAGCCTTGGTTTTCTCTTGTAGAATGGTCTGGCATCCCCACCTTATACACAGTTGCTTAAACAACCTGTTGTATGTCAGGGGATGAATGTAAGTCGGGTATATCTCAAGAGTTGCTGTTTCATTTGGTTCACCATGTGATTCAGCACAGAGAAGGGGTATTGCTTCTTGTGCAGTTTGAAGACTTGTCCAGGATTCCAGCATGGTCAGTTTTGCAGTCCTTGCCCTCTATTGGGCTACCTCTTCAACGGCTTGCTGGTTCCATGCAGCATAGTTTTTATCTTTGTCTTTCATGCCTAAGCTTATTGGATTGATTGAGGGTCTGGGTCTTCTCATGCACATGCTACAGGATAAACAGAATGCCTTGTTTCTTGTGCTGTTTGCTGCCTTTGGTAGATGCCTGAGGGTTGCTGAGCCCCTCAGGGTTTTATGCACAGCTGATTGGGCTGTGTTCCTTTACAGCCCGGGTCCCTATGCATTTTTATTTCACAAATACAATTCTGTGTTCCATTTTGTAATCTAACCTTAGATCATTCTGGTGGGTTGCTACCTAGTTTAAGCTAAACCTTCAAAGAGCCGCTTGATATGTCATCAACTGGAAGAACAGAAGGCTTTTGAGCACTCAAAGAGGTCTGATTTGGAGGCAGCACCTAGTGGATGTCCTCACTGTTTCCCCTTGGTGTGTTCACAGAGTCATTACCAGCTCCAGCTCTGCCCTGGTGCAGACTGCCCCATGGTTATCCGGGTACAGGAGCCCAGAGCTCGCAGAGTACAGTGCAATCGGTGCAACGAGGTCTTCTGGTAAGAGTGAGTGTGGGTGCTGAGCAGCCCTGGGCTGGTGCCTTCTCCTCCAAAGCACCACTGCTATTGCTTTGTGTGAGGGCGGAGTTGGGAGAGACAGGGTCTTTGAGCCAGAAGAGCAGCTCTGCTTCAGATGGGCAGGGTTTGTAGCTAGCATCTCATGTTCCATGAGATGTTTGATAATGCTTGGTCTGGAGACAAGAAAGTGGCAAAGAATCTTAGAGAATGTGCTATGGTTTATGCTACTAAGACTCATGGCCCAGAGATTGTGTGTGTCTCTGTGGGTGTGTATCTACCTGCACAGATGATTCACATATTACTGTTTGAAAGCTACAACCTTCAGCATTTTAATCTTTCTCTATCTTGGCCTTTCTTGGCTAATTTTGTAACATTGTAATTCATAAATGTAGTTTACATCTACGTGGAGTTTACTCCATTCAGTAAATATGATGAGAATAGCTGAAGTGTACTGAAGGCTTACTAGGGGAAAGGCACTATTTTGATCACTTTACCTTCATTATCACAACTGCGGTGTATGATTGGTACTGTTATTACGCTTATGTTATAGGTGAGGATCTAGGTGCAAGATGATGGCTGAGCCATAATTTAGGTCCAGATCTGTCCCCCTAATTACACCTCCCTGAAAGGTTCATGGTGGGGCTTCAGAGAAACTACATGGAAAATGTGGTGTATATACATACATACCTGCCTTTCAAGACGTTGTTGAGGGAGTTTGTAGCTCACCAAAGGTTAAGAACCACTAATATAGTTGCTCTCCATCCTTTGTGTCCCACATTATGAACTTCTTTGCATGGGGCATGTGTTAGGCTATCTGCCTGAGAGCCTTTATCATCCACAAAGTTGTGTTGGCTTAGACAAAAGAGAAATTAAAAACATGAGAGCCTAGCCTGATGAGTGTTGGAGTTTTTCTTTTCTGATTTTAAGTTTCAAGCATTGTCAGGTGTATCATGCCCCTATAGCCTGCATAAGTTCTGGCCTTTGTGCGTCCTGTGTGCACATCTGGCTAGGAGATAAATCAAGGCTCCCAGAAGTGGATCTTGGTCCTGCCTTGGGTCTGAGTTGAGGTATCCTTCTCAGAGCATCTTACCATGCCCTTTGAGAGGCTGAGCTCTGAATTGGACATCCTTTCAGGAAGAGTTGACACTGCACAAGGTATTTAAAACAGAAACATCTCGGGGCTGGACCTGTGGCGTAGCGGTTAAGTGTGCACGCTCCGCTGCTGGCAGCCTGGGTTCGGATCCTGGGCGCACACCGACACACCGCTTGTCAGGCCATGCTGTGGTGGCATCCCACGTAAAGTGGAGGGAGATGGGCACGGATGTTAGCTCAGGGCCAGCCTTCCTCAGCAAAAAAAGAGGAGGATTGGCATGGATGTTAGCTCAGGGCTGATCTTCCTCACACACACACAAAAAAGCAAACATTTCATTGGCTTTATTGAGAGTATGTCTTAGAAGGGCTTAGATTGATGAAAAGTTCACGCAGTATTTCAGTATAATCTTGGGTAAGTAAAAGTCCAAGAGGCCTTGAGAGGTGACTTTACCTCTTTGAAAAGCTCTAATTCAGGATCTATTGGCTTGGACAGAAGGAAAATTAAAAACATGGGACCCTTACCTAACGATTATTTGAATGTTTTTCTTTTCTGTTTTTAAGTTTCAAGTGTCGTCAGATGTATCACGCCCCCACAGACTGCGCCACAATCCGGAAATGGCTCACGAAATGTGCGGATGACTCTGAAACAGCCAACTACATTAGTGCTCACACTAAAGACGTAAGGACTGTATCTTACCTGTCATGGATCTGCCCTCTTGAGTGCTGCCCAGGGCCTTGCCTGGGAGATTTGCCATCTGAAATCAGAACACCCTTGCTGGAGGCTGCAGACCCTTGCCCAGACTTGGCAGAGTTTGCAGCAGTTTATCATAGTATGCATTGGGTGCATTTATTTTAATAAAATGCTGAAATGCCTGGAAAAGTTTGAGCCAAAGGGGAACTAAATAGAAGAAAACTAGGTTTTATTGAACGCCCCCCAGGCTTTAACAGCCCTGGAGGGAAGTGGTTGATAGCCACACCTAATAAATAGCAAGGCTCTTAATGTAAGCCCAGGCCTGCCCAATTCTCATTCTGAGTTTTCCCATGGGACAGCATGGCCTGCAGCCCCTTGAGCCCTGGATGACTCGGCACCCAAGGCTGAACCCTATGCTAGTCATGCGCTAAGTTTATGTACTCACAAGCACAGCTGTGACCATGACATCATCAAACATCGTCTGTTTCATGGCAGTGGGAGAGCATAGCATCAGACTTATCTTTGCGTTGCTGGTATCTCTCAAATAAGAGTGAGCAAGCCTCAGAGGTTGTTTCCATGCCCTCTTCTGGAAGCAGAAGTCCAGGCAAACTGACCAGGACTTAGTCCATTGTGGCAGCTCCTGTGCTGCCTTGGCATTCTTCCCAAGCAGGCAGGCTTTCTGCTGACTCAGCTTGTGCTTAATCTGAGCAGAATCGTGGCAGAGACAGATGGTGGAAGACTTAGTGGGGCTCAGCTGGTGCTTGGAGTGTTTCAGAGCCAGACATGCTGACCTCATTTCCTTGAATTGCTGTTCCAGCCTCAGCGACCCGCCATATTTAAGTGAGATGCTCCTCCCCAGAAGTGCTCGCACGATGAGCTACTGGGCACGGGTGCCAGGAGCTTTGTGTAATTTGTCTTAGAACCAGCCTGATGGTGTGTGAGCCTAATGGCGCCCTTCTGTCTCCTCAGTGTCCCAAGTGCAACATCTGCATTGAGAAGAACGGAGGCTGCAATCACATGGTGAGCAGAAGCCTGTACCTTTTGCATATGTGACATGGAGCCTTTGGTCAGCGTGCCCTTAACATATTCTCTTCTGTTTCCCTCTGACAGCAATGCTCCAAGTGTAAACACGGTGAGTCCTAGGCTTGGTGCACAAGGCCCAGTGGCACATTCTGTGTTTCTTGTGCATGGGTCTCCATTACTTGTTTAGTGAGTACTTTTGTAGTAAAGTGACAAAACAAAGTGCCCCCTCAGTCACTTTTAGTCATAATAACCAGCATAAAGCAGCTCTTGATTATTTATTTATCTATTATTTTTGGTCCCTCTTATAATACCACTGCCATCTTGCTCACACATGTAGTCAGAAGTCAAGGTTGGGATGACTCTTAGACCTCATGATCCTCAGTCATACAAGGAGAAGGTTTTAGCGTGTTCTTTTTATTTTTGCCAAGGCAGGTAAGTAGCATAGAGCTTATCTGTGCTACCTTAAAGGTACCTTTTAGAGCAGGCTATACACAGTTTTACCAGAGATAGTAAAATAGTTTTCCTTTGAGGTTTTATAAAGTTCCCAGAGGGGGTTTTGATTTGGCCTTTCAGGTCTCCTTCATCTTTCAGCAGTAGGTTACATAGAACCTCTTGGTTTTCCCTTCCTTCCTGCCAGATCAGGTAAAGAAATAAAGTTCCTTCAAGTAGAAAATAAGTCCAAATAGGTAGGTTTCCTACACAGCTGCTTAGATGCTGACCAGGAGGCCCTGAGAGTTTCTTTTTCTAAGGGCTCATCTAATGCTATTCCTGTGTTTTCCCAGGAACCCACTATAATCAGAGTGGACATGGCAAGGTCTTGGAAGGGAACAGTGACTCTGAAGGGTAGAATGAAGAGATAGGCCAAGGGTAGTGGCATTTTTACTCATTGGTATCCCATTTTATCTTTCTGTATGTGTTTGAGTGAAAGGGATGTGTATTAGCCACTTAGAATCGTGCATAAGACACACATACAGTTTAAAGAGAAATGACAAAATGAACACCCCAGTACTGACCACATTCCTAGTACCTAGGAAGTCCCTTGTATGTCCCTTCCCGGTCGTAGTCTCCCCATCCCTCACCACCCAGAGTTAACTATCATCCCTTGCATTGCTGTATAGTTTTACCACCTCTATGGGCAACCCTAAGCAGTGTAGTGGTATTTAAAACAGTAGCAAGCACAACCTAGCTGATTAAAGAAAGAACAATATTGCCAGTGTTCAATGAAAGCTCCCAGAAGAAGAGAAATGAATGACCTCAGGGTCTCTGGGTTTGGCTTTAGCTTTCCAAAATTTTACAAGAACCCCTTTTGGGAAGTCAGTGAGCCAACTTATGGGAGTGAATCCTGGGAAGCAGGTGTACCATTGTCAAAAGTCTTTGGCAGAGACGGAATATAGATCAGGGAGGCCGGCCGAGTGGCATAGTGGGTAAGTTCACTTGCTCCACTTCGGCGGCCCGGGCTTCGCAGGTTCAGATCCCAGGTGCAGAACTACACCACTCATCAAGCCATGCTGTGGTGGCGACCCACATACCAAATAGGGGAAGATTGTCACAGATGTTAGCTCAGGGCCAGTCTTCCTCAAGCAAAAAGAGGAGGATTGGCAACAGATGTTAGCTCAGGGCCAATCTTCCTCACCAAAAAAAAA